AAGTGATGCAAGTCACGTAGGCAGAGGGAGCAGGTTTCCCCCTCCCTCAGGAATGCAGCCAGCTCAAGTTCCCTAAAGAGACAGGCTGAGGGTGTGGTCCCCTGTGTGCTGGGCCCATCCTAATTGAATGGTCACCACACAGAGATTTAAATCACAGTGTCACAGGGCAGAGATCTTTGGGGAGAAACCAAGGTGGCTTTTTGCCACAAAAGTACTAAATAAATAATAAATATTCATACTTAAATAAATCTTTATATGAGCCTTTCCCCCCAATTAAAACGTTTACATTTTTTCATTTAAAAAAAAGTAAAATCATTTGTAACACTAGTAACACATTGAGGAGTCTGATTTTATTTGACATTGCACCTCTTTTATAGGTGAAGAACTTTGGCTTTCTACATCACACCAGGTCATCTGGGTAAGTGATGTAAAACTGCACTTCTTTCCACACCCACACAACACCCAAGGGCAATTGGAAAAGAGCTCAGACAGCATGTATAAAAATTGTTATGTAATTACATTTATATTTCCATAGATCCTTTTCAACGTGGATATATAACAAGTTCTCATTTCTTTTACTGCAGATATAATTTACCAAGAAAATGCTTGGAAAGAGTGATGGGTGCTATAAAAATCTTAAAGAAATATAGAAAATTTGCTGATTAGCTGCAGCTAAACTTCTTACACTTGAAAGAAAATTAACTTTGATAGACTTAATTTTACCAGCTTTGATTTCCAAATGTTGAGTCTCTGATAAAGTCTTGATTTGACCTTATACCAACACAGTCAAGTAAATTACCTATGTACCAGGTGGGGAAAAATGTCCTAGGGTTGCCATGCTCTCCCCTAGCTCCCCCTACCATGCCAAGTTTGGGTTAAAGCACCCTTGTTCTTGCCTGCCATGTCTTGATCTTGTAAAAATTAAAGGGAAGTTGCCTCTCGTCCTCCTGGTCATGGTTCCTGCTACCCCCATCCTTATTTATATAACGGGGTTCCGAACACCCCAGCCTTATGGGCTATGTGTGGCTCCAACTACCTCTGTACCACGCCCCAAGCCTCGCAGATCTACCGGACGTTGTTCTGTTTTAGCTGCGGCCTCTGTCATTCTCGGCGCTCGGGTGGCGCTCAGGCTCTCCGCGGCCCCTGTCACTCTCGGCGCCCTCTGGCACTCGGTCTCTCCGCAGCCCGTCACTCTCGGCGCCCCCTTGCTCTGGGCCTTCTCACACTGCCCATGCTCAGGGCTTCTCGCTGCCCACGCTCGGGGCTGGGGCTCCCATACTGCCGTGGTTCCCCTATGAGGCCTCCTCCATCCCCTTATAGCCTTACCCGGTCCTCCAGTTAGAACAGTAAACAAAACACAAGCCCCTTGGCTATAACATAACTCTAAGCCATCTGGCTCCTACCTTCCTCTCGCCACATCAGAGTTGTTCCATCCATCCCCAATCTTGGGCCATACCTGCAGTTTGGCGTCTACTCATTATTCACTCCAGCAGAGTTCTTTCCCCCTGGGCTGCCAGCAGGGAACTGCCTGCCTGGCCTCAGCCTGGGAGTTTTATAAAGAGCCAGGCCCTGCCCCTTCCGGTCAGCTGACCTGGTTACCCTGGACAACCAGCAGCTGGGCTCCCTACTTACTGACATACCAGTAGCAGGCACCCCAGTGCCCTGCTACAACCTTTTTAATAAAAGGGTTTTTTTGTAAGGTGCAGGCTTTGTGGTCTACAAAGAGGAAAATTGTTCTTTCTGTGCTTAGCTTCTGCACTGTGTCAAATAATAGCTTATTTATTTGACTTTAGCAAAATGTCTACTGTTTAATGAGTTTTAGGTGTTGTGTATTATATTGCAAAATTACAAAACACAAGGAAATATTTTTAAATCATTAAAAGAAGTCAACCAAACCAAAGCAGGCAGTAAATTTTCCCATATTATATACTTTAATCTGCTGCTTCTGTGAGCAAATTTCTCAGTGAAATCTTGAGCTCTATTAAGTATTTCCTAAAAGGAGTTCTAGAAGTGATATCCTTTTCCTGATGACAAACTCTCAGATTGTCTCATGTCCAAACAGCTACTGCCATCCTACCATTTTATTAGAAATTAATGTAATAAAATTGAATAATTACAAAGATTGTGGGAAACAACTCATATAAAACGAATTAATCATACAACATCTCAAGTTTCCTTCCTTTGTTTTTATTGTGTTCCACCCTTTGGGCCTGGCAGGTTGAGATCCACACCCAGAGATACTAAATTACTTGTTCAGTTTAAAAAAACCCCAAACCTCAGCTTCTTCTATATTTCATGCATGTCAGTCAACACACCTATCTACGAATGTGTAATACTTGATCATGCCTTCCAAAACGCACTTTCTAGATCTCCTACATTCTACACTTAATATTTTCACACGTTAAGTAAGAAAGAACTAGAAGGAAACCCTCATAAAAACTGATCCATACTCATGCAGAAACCAGAAAGCAGCAGAGAAAAGCTGCACTTCAAAACCCAGATTAGGCGTGGATACTAATTAGCTAACCTGATTAAGAAAAAAAATCCAAGACAGATTAAGTGGTAATACTACAAAATTATATTAACTCAGTCATAATAATAACTACTTTTTGACAGGCTAGTATCTTTCAGTTCTTCATGCCAGTTTTTTTTCATAGAAAAAGTTGATTTGTTACTGGGTTGGTAATTTTCCAGGACAGTGTTGCAAGAGTACAATTTAACATTAACTGCTGGTGGCTTTACTTAGAGTCAGCAATAGTTTCAACCCAATTGTCTACTGCAAACGGTAATAGCTAAGCTTAAATTTAATTGTGATAAAAATCTCACTTAGCTCATAGTGCAGTACAAGGGCTTTAGACTTGCCTATGGTTCCCATGTAGCTAAATGGAGCAATGAGATCTAAATTACATAATTAAAGTGGTCAGATTTGTCTATAAGCTACACATGTGGCACTGTGTCAAAACTGCCAGGGTACAGAACTGAAAAAGCACAATTTAAAATGTTTACAAAGAAAATCAGCTTTCCCACTAAAGACACGCATCCCAATTTTGGAAGGTTGGGAAAAATGGCTTGAGTTGTATGTAGGTAAATATGGCATGTCAAGAACATCTCAAGCAAGGGGAAAGTTATGAGGAAGTTTCACGGTGAAGTGCCAAATATAAATTGCTGAGAAGGAACTAAGTCTTAGATGACCGATGCAGCTTACCTTGAAATAGAATCCCATTTTTGAGTCACTCAGGAGATTCAAATTGCATTTACTTTAAAGTCAGACACATATTTAATAGATAGTTTTGTTGCTTATATTATCCTTGTTCAATGTGGATAATGTGATGAACAGTGGATCCATGATTCACAATGTATTATGCTAATGGAAGCAAGCTAGAGCTTTGAAAAAGAATACTCAACCCGCCTTGTGGACACATTCTTTTGCATCAACATTTATTGTCATCTCCTAGTGAAATCCATCACTGGAATATCCACATAATATCCTCCATAAAGTTAATAAAAATGTTAATAACAATAGATCTGTGGGCCCAAGCTTTACCTCTACTTTCTCCAAAGCTAGAGTTCAGCACTTTTTAGATATCAGATTAACAAAATGCATTAGCATGATTAAAAATAGGCAGCACACAACCTACCTCAGCTGTGTTACTTCAAATGAGATGGTATTAATACCTCCTCTCTCTTTGGATGTCCTTGGGACAAGGCAACTGATAAAAATAAAAATCAATCAAAATCCAAAACAGTTGAAAAAACTACTATAACATGAAATTTAAAAGATCCATGTCTACAATTTTCTGCAGAGTCTAGAAACTGGTGGTTAACAAGTTTCTTTTTTAAAAAATACCAAAAAATATACTTATCCAATTTTTTTCCTAACCAAAACTATGATTACTTAATACAAATATAAACTAAAATATATTCTGTAACTCCAGTGGTGACACCAATAAGCACTTACCAGATACATCAGGCACCAGTGGGATAACTTGGAAACCTAAAGAGATGTGTCAAGATCAAAAGGAATTGCTGGTACTCACGACCTTTGAAAAAGGAGGCAGAAAAAAAAGAAGTGGAAACACATATGTATATTAGGTATATAAATACAGGTGTCTAAATCTGGGGAAAGCCTTTCGGTTTCAAACATGGCTGTGAATGACTAAGTGGTTAAAAGGTTCAAAGAACTCTTCAGATTTTTATTTGTGTATTAAGCAGTGCAGCAGAATAAAACTGTTAGTCTGATAATTTTGATCAGACACAATTCTAATTAAAGTCATGTGAAGGACACATGAGCAGGACCCAGTGGAAATGAAAGATTCCCTTTCACAGACACCTCTGCTTCCTCTGCAATTCTTCTGAACTCTCCTCACCTGTTGGGTAAATAAGGAAACTCCATGTTTCAAGGCCATTTCAATCCCTCCCTGTGTAGATCTTTGTGTGAGGGTAGGCTGTATTTACTTGAATCCAAGGTGAGGTGGGGGGAAGCTCCACATCCTGGATTTGAGTACAAATGGGGTGGGGGGAGAGGGGAGCGAATAGGGAGCAGGCAGCTGCTGCAGTTCTAACCTCAGCTCAGGATCAGAGCTGGAGCCACTGCTGCTGCCCCCAGCACTTGCCCCTCTGCTCTTGCCTCCTGCTGCCTGTCCCATTCCCACCCTGCCCCCCCACTGC